GCCCTGGAATCGTACATGAAGGATCTGCTGATGACGGCTAATCTTACGCCGTCGGCGTGCGACGTGGTTCACGTGGAGTTTGACTTCCCAGATCTCGAAAGCCTCACCCGTAAGTTTCCTGTGTAAGACAGATCGCGTAATCGAGGCCTCTATGACTTTATACGTGGCTTGCAAGGACGACGGATGTCATTCTGGTGGTCTCGCAGCCTTCTGCAACATACATTTCGCGCCACGGATTTTGTCTTTCCCGGCAATGACCACCAGCATGGCGTGATGACGTCACCTGCAAGCCATGTACACAAAAAGAACCTACACGGATACATAGTGAAGGAGAGGAGCAGACGAGAGCGCGCTCTGACGCCGGGACACCGAACCCTGTAACTCAAAGCTAGTTGCCGTTGTCTCTACTCACTCTTCGAACGCGTTCCAAGAGTGGTTAGAGACAAAGGCAGCTATAGTTTGCACCGCAGGTGCGAACTCCAATTGAAAAGCACACCAGAAGCCTGGCAGATAAGCTCTACAGCCTGCAGAACTACGCCAGAAACGCTATAGGGGCTAAGGCAGTTCATCCGGGAATGCACACCGCCGCACAAGCGGAAACACAAAACTGCAAGGTGATCATCTACAGGGTCGACACTTGAAGGCGTCACAAAACACAGGACGACGTGCAGTCCCAGCACCGACGCGCTGTACGCCTCGGCCATGCGGTTACGGGGGTCCCATGGTCTGGTTTTGGATATGGTGGGTTTCCCGCGCATCAAGGGGGTCCCAGAAAACGAGACTGCCCACGGGGCGGCGAGGAGCGGGCTGCGCTATGCAGCTCTAAAACCGGCCCCCCTCTAAGCCACCATCCCATGGGGCTACCCACATCCAACGACGGCGACACCGGGGGACATAACGACCTAGTAGAACACGACCCGAGAGAAGAAATGAGTAGGGGTCGGCTCCGTAGGCAACGGAAGTAGCGAAACTCTGGGCAGCCAACGTACGATCCGATCCCAGACAACACCTTCCGGTGGCGGGAAACCTCCACCGGATCCGGACGGGTGGGGCAATCACCCCCCGAGAGATCTTTAGTATCAAATTCAGCACCCTTAAGGAAAAGAGAGCCTTACGTCGTCCCGCCCGATCCGAGCTGCCAGCGTTGCAAGGTGCCCGGAGCCATCCCCAGGCTCTCCCACAAAGTCTGGGAGTGCGAAGCTCTAGCAGCACTTTGACGGACCGTGATCGAGCGTCTGCCAGTAACGGACAGACCAGTGACCATGGCGGAGTGGGCCCGCGCGACGGGGGAAAGCGAAGAGGAGGGCCAGGATTCTGAGAACTTTCTTGGACTACGTGTCCCAGGGGGAGCTCAGGATTTAGGCCACCGCTCTCATCTGACACCCCCAGCCTGTGGCGCAGCATCTTTGGTCATCGTCTTAACAATTACCTCCAGGACCGTTGTCACCTTTGAAGATCGCCCTGACTGTCAGCTACCAACGGCGCACGAGCAGACAACCCGAATACTAGGATGTATACTGCTGTAGGCTCTCGATTTTCAATTAACGTCTATTCCCCCCTTCCTTTTAGAACATTAGAGGGAAGCAAGAACGGTGGGTAGTGTTATGAGTCGACGCCCAGCCTGGTCTCTCGGGTAGCATGGCCATCTCGCTGGCGTCCAACCTCTCTCGCGAACAACGTCCCAGCCAGACAGTCGGGGAAACAGATCGGGAAAACTTAACAGGACAGAAAACTAGTTTATTTACATGGGTATATCGTTTAGCATGTTGGCAAAAGAAGCGCGCCGAATGGGCAGCGAACAGGTCTTTATATAAGAAAATCGGGGTTCTGGAGCTGCCGTGCCATTGGTTGGTTAGCGCCGCATTCCAAAGTTGGCCTCGACGTCAGCCTCCTCCTCTCGGCCCCGAGGTTCGGTCGTTGTTCTTCTCCGAATTGAGGGCGACTAGTAGGCGCTTGTCTTGCATGCCGTAGACGCAGACACAACAGACTGCCCATCTGTTCAGGTTGGGATTCTGCCTGACGTTGCCGTGGAATGCAGACGCCTCCGCGGAATGCAGACGCCGTAGACAGAACGCACCGACGGCAACGTCGGTTCTGATGCCCTTGAGCCGAGGCCCGAGAGAAACGCTTCTCCGGTTTCGGTCGAACGTGCAAAAAAGGTTCGGATCGCACGCCAACCGTCTCGACGTTCACTTGGTCGTCGTCCGCACCAGAATGCAAGGTCAATCCTCACAGACACAGGGAGATGGAGACGGGTCATAACAGTAGTGAGGACTCGTTTTTCGCCATATAGACCTTTTCTGTGTACTCTCGTCTCCAGGCACCTAAGAGGCGTATCCGGTATGGGCGACGAAAAAATAATCCAACGTTTCAACCTGCAAATAGTGAGAAAATAAAGGGGAGGCAAACCGAGAAAGTATGGCGGTTACGCTTATGTCCTAAATGCCTTCCATTGGCGTGGCAAAGGCAAAACAATGTTTTCGCCCATACTGGAAGTGACGTCAATTCAAGATGGCGGCGCACTTGCAGAAAAGGTCTATACCGCATCTCACTATTACGTACGCCGCAGCTAAAGCTTCAAAGTAACGACGCTGCAGCCATCTAGATGCTTAAAATCATGGTTGCCAGTTATCTGAAGCTTTTTCTGAAATCGCTGGAAGCGCTTCTCGTGCCTCCAGAAATGTTAGAAGAGTCGGCGACAGAGCGAAATAACATCGCTTGAGCTTCTTCACGCCATATTCAAAGTTCAGGAAGTGGCATTTTCGACTAGTAACTATCGCCAATGGCACCCGCTTTGCAAGGGCGCCAAAATGGCAGCGCCCACAACAAAAATCGGGGAAATGGAGAGCTAATAGAACTCTAAGCTTAGCTGAGTTAGTGACTCTAGTTTGTAGTATAGAGGATATAGGCTCGTGAGCATTCATAATACAAGTAAGGATCATGTCCTCCTTTCCCTCTGCAGGGTCTCACCTGGCCATGAGCCCAATGACGACGTTGGTGACGGAGGCAGAGAGGCCCCTGTTTCTTGAAGACATGAAAGAGCAGACGAGAAAACTTTGGGCCATCAAGGAAGCGGGCGGCTCTCCGTTCGAGTTCGATATTTTCGTGGTTTTCGCTTCCTCGAAGGATCTGTCATAAGCTGGACTGCCCGAAATTTGATTTGCCCGAAATAAATTACCCTGGGCCTTGTTTCTTTCGTTTCTGTTAAGTGCGATTCAAACCGACACGTATTTCAAATACGTGCGCTAGAAGGATCATGTGTAGTATCTCTCTTCCGGTTCTTACTTCACCGGTCCATTTCTTTCGTGTTCCGGATCACGCTTTTAGAGTTCAATTGTTTCAACGTTTTTGGGTGCCCGCATCGTGACGTAGGCTCCCGTATGGTGACGTAGGCGCCCGTATTGAGGGAGTGACCAACCACGGAGCGCACTTCCGGCTTCTTTACAGCGATTTTTCTGTACTTCACCTATCCCGGTGACGTGTCTCTCGTCGTAAATTTATTTCGGTATTCGCCCTTGTGCGCGCGGTAGTTTCTGTGTGATGATGTGAGAATTCGCATTTTGTTTCCCCGACGACCGTTCAACGTCCCCGCCCTGGCTTGGTCGAGCGTGTTGACTAAGTGCCCACTGCCCGGTTGAGACTGGAGGAAGGTTTTTCGGCGGCACTGCTTAGTTTGACAAGTTTCGTCGCAAACGCGTGGTGTGTGTGAGATTCCCTCGCAGTGGTCTTTGTAGGGCGCCGTGAAAATGCCGTGCTCACCAGATGCTCGAGTTACGCCACCAACGTGCTGCCTCACCGGACTCCGTCTGCTCGATCCGCTGTCGTTGTTCCATTCCAGTTCCGTTCCGGGTAATCGGAGTTTACGAGAATTCCATTCCTTCAGTCCTCAGAATAAAGACACTGGCCCCATTCTACTCCTGGAATGGCTAAACTCAACCATTCCATCGCTCTAATTCCTAAAAGTGAAACAATGGCCATTAAAAGTCATATTGTGTACTGGAAAAAAGAAAAAAGAAGCATAAAGCTGCTGACGTTATCGAACGAGGATGAAGCTTATGCAAAAGCTTCCTTAAAGCACTCGTTGTGCTAAGCCGAAGGGCTGTCGCAGAAAGCGCTTCGTGGCACTTGGTATCAATGTAGACATCGATCGCGCGATCAAGCGTAAAAGGGCTTCTGAGTCGCAACAGACGCTAAAACTTAAAACCACTATCGCAAACGGACCGTATCCCTTCCACAGATACATGGTAAGCGTGTTGTTTGTTTGGTAAGGCCTAAAAATGTCTAGTTTGTGCAACTAAAACTGAATAGTAGTAGGCAGACAAGGTGCCGTTCCTGACTCCGCGAGGTGCACCAAAGAGGCTGTTATAATCATACGCAATTAGGAGGCGGATTTGAGCCATAATGTTGAACCGAGCCCGAACCGAGAAACGGAGCAAAGTTGTTATCTTTAAGTGAATGGGAACAAAACTCGAACCTATATCAAACATTTGAAATTGAACCAAAACGGAACCGTAATCTCATGTGAGCCGCGCCTTCTTTTGGGTGGCAGCGCGAAATAAATAAGTACTCCCGACGATGCCGTCTGCGGTTCTGTTTTGTCTAAAAAACGGCAGCGACGACATGGGGACAGCTCTATAATAATGAAGCAAGTACATTTCACGTCTGTGTGCAGAATGAATTGGCGTCGACGAGTTGGTATGGAGGCGTGCACATTAATAAAAAAAAAAGGTATTCCCTGCGCGTGTGTGTGTGTGTGTTTTATTTTCTTGCTGCTGGGCACTATTCCTCAATGACGGAGAAAGCAAACATAAACTTCAAAATAAAAGAAAAAGGTATTCTGCACCTCCACTTAGCCATTCGAGTTTGTAAACACCAAAATAGCCAATAGCTATCAATACTAGTTACTGATAGCCATTTATAGCCATTTCAAGCCAATCTGATAGAAAAAAATGCTTATAGCCAATAATAGTCACTTGTAGCAATTTCAAAAAAGTCTAATAAAAATAAAGGCTTACAGCCAATAATAGCCACTTGTAGCCATTTTCATCCATAAACACCGAAATAGCACATAATTGTCAATTATACCCCTAATAACCATATTGCTAGCCATTTGAAGTCAATCTGGTCAGAAATAGATGTTAATAGCCAACAAAAGCATCTTGAAGCCATTCCAGTTAATAAGCAAAAAAATGCTCATAACTATCAACACTAGTCAATAATAGCCCTTTGTAGCCATTTGTTGTGTGCATGTTTATACAGCCGGAAGTTAGTCTGCCTCAGTGGGCGTCTGGTGTATCAGCTGTAGATGAACAATTTAGCCAGTGCCGTACAACCGCTAACCTGGGGTCTTTAACGTGCACCACGCAGTAGTGATACACGACCGCACGCCGGTACGATGCTCATCCAGATCGAAACGGGCAGGTGTGGGGATTGAAACCAGGATCCTTGGGTTCTGCAGCGCAAGCTTCCGCTCCACGTGCTCCGAGCTGGTGTGCGCTAGCCCACTCGGCCACCAATCCCCCTTTCTTAAGCACCGAAATAGCACAGAATTGTCAATTATCTCATCAATAGCCATCAGTAGCCACTCTAAGTCAGTCTGGTCAAAAATAAATAGTGATAGCCAACAATAGCTACTTGGAGCCATTCCATTTCGTATATTAGAAATAGCTGGATCATAATTATGAAGAGTTGCCACTAATAGCCATCTGTAGCCATTGGGAGCCGATGTAATCAAAGATATGTGCTTATAGCTAGGGCTCCGTGTTTACGGAGCCCTAGCTATAAGCTAGGGCTCCGAAAGTGCGTAGGGTTTATTCAAACTGTGATAGGATCCCGATTTGATTATCCATACACAGTTCGTTACTAATCCAGTACGTGTTCTTCGTTTCATAACTCCATGCTTCGTTCTTGTCGTCTGATATGATTGTTTGTTTTGGCACATATTAGCATACTTTTGGTGTTTTGTCAAGCTGATTCACGCAGTGTGCTTCATAGCATTGACTATATGCGTAACTACGTGCCTTATAACAGCAGTCTGCAACGTCAACACGTATTATAAATGTGTATTGGGCAATTTTAGCGCAGTGTTCGACGCCATGAATTCTAAAGAAAAACGCTCTAACTGACACATATGTTTGTACATCCGATTGTAAAACGTTCCAAACCTTTTATTCTGTCACAACACTGAGCAATACTTGCTCTTATAATCCAGCCCGAAGAGAAAACGAATTTGCGTTTTCCCATAGGAATGCATTACCGGAAGTGAAATTTAGACTGGATGCTGTCTGCTTCAAAGGGCAGCAGCACACTAGCGCCACCTGAACCTCTAGCGTTCATTGTAATAACTCTATGATCCAATATCACGAGCTTGTGCTCCTTATGCTCCATCAAAAAAAGTACTTTTTCAAAAATTATCAATTTCTCTAATGAGTCGGACCCACTTTCTGCGTTTCCGGCAAAAATACATTTCCACTCCCTAACGCCAGGATCGCTTTCTGCTTCAGTCTCTTATTTCTGTGTCTGCTCCACTGATCTCTATTGTAGTAGGCTGGATCGCGGACCGCGGCCTCGGCAGCTGGGTTCGAGTGTCGCCACCGGCGGCCATTGATTGACACCAGCCAATGCATGGGGCTCTATGGGAAGAACGAGAAAAAGTGACGTTTTCCCCTGTTTCTAAACTGTTCTCGGCACTGAAACTTTTTGGATGCTTTTCGATAAGCCCTTCAAATAGCTTCCATACAAACATTAAAACTGACAGCCCTCGCAGTTCTTATAAATAAATATTTTGTGACAGAGAGTGACTCCGCTGTACTGCAGCTCAATGAGGCGAGAGTTACCTGGAGTTACCGCGGAGTCGGTGGCGCTTTCGTCGAGTTGGGTTTAGCAGACGACAAGCTCGAAGGCTTTGCTACGCGGAATTCGCTCACGCCCGGAAAGCTGCTGTCGAGATAGAACTTCGTTGTCATTCATAAACTTCTGGGCTTCCCCAAGGACGGTCTCATTGACGGCAAGTTCCTTTGTTTACTCCACTACGAGAGCAAGCTTGCCTGCTCAGCCGTAGGTGCTCCGGTACGTTTGATTTTTTTATTTGGCGACCGGACGTTTGACAAATACCGATTCGATCTCCAAACACCCGACATAAGGATCGCAGCGCACCATAAGATACTCGCCTCCGAGCACAGCGTACGTTCTTCAATATGCTTACTTTTGTGCGTTTCTCCCATAGACTTGCGTGTATTGCCTGGTGTCAAGCAATGGCCGCCGGTGGCGACACCGACGGGCTCCCGAACCGCGATCCAGCCTACTAAAATAGAGATCAGTGGTCTGCTCTGTTCCATGGGCGCCGCCATGTTTGTTCATGCTGACGCCATGACGTATTAGGGGGGTGCGCTTTTTGCATGACTCCGCTTTTAGAAACCTTCGCAAATATCGTAGTGAAAATGGCACAAAGCTCCAAGAGCAACACCGATGCCAAAAATAATGTAAAAAGCAAAACAAAATATTGTTTTATGCGCAGCCCCTTTCTTCACAGGAGCATGCGTTTGAGATTATTATTTCCCACTTTTATTGATGTGGGCTAGGATTTCGAACACTGGTCTTTCGTCTCCAAGGTATTTGGTAAGAGATACAGCGAACGTTTACTGATTGTATTGTGTGATCGATTCAGACATCATCAAATGTCAGCGTGCGGGAAATTCTTTCTTTTAAAACCAACGGTCACCGCGATTTTGAAACTCCTCGTCTAGAGTTCGGACGAAGAGGCCGCCATCTTTGAGGCTTGCAGTGCAGCATTCTCGACGACGTGCGGTTAGGCGGCGCTAAAAACGCGTCAGGTCTACTGTCGTAGAAAAATCTATTTGGATAATTCTCTCTATATGGTGCCTGGAGCGTGTCTCCGACTGGTGTGTTTAGCGTCTTAATGCTGCCCATACATCAAGAGTGGTCCCGAAATGCCAACAATTGACGTCACGGAAACCGTAGTGTCAAGCTGTTCCATGTCGCGATCCTGGCGGTTGGTCGTAGATATGCATATAAGAAGCTGCGAGTAGCACAACCGAACGCGAGTGTTGCTGTCGTCGCGGAGTTCTGGCTGCCGAGGCTTCAGTGGACTGCAGCCACACTGGAAAGCGACCTGCAGC